GCTTCACTTAAAAACCCTCATCCATCATGTGACTCAGATCATCAGCAGCTCCTGACGTGCTTCGCAGAAACCCGTCATCTCTCCCATTTCCTGTCACAGAAGCGCTCCTTCATCCCAACAGTTAAGGCAGGTATTGGTAATGCATTAGCGGGGCGCAGACAGAGTGGCAGACACTTAAATGATCTAATTACAAGTCATATTGGATTAGTGTGAGAAGAGGCGAAAGGGGGCTCTTTCAGGGCCCCTCAACGTCCTCTTGAATCCCAGTTCGGAGTCTTTGGGGGGATTTTTAAGACTAACCGACCACTTTGTTTCTCTGAGGAGCAGAAAGATGAAGTGAAAATGAAAAAGTAATCTACCATTGCATCCATCAGAGAAATACTTAAATCTGTGATATAGTACGCACAATATGCACTTTTTACGTGATGTTCACCTACCAATCAGCTGTGCACTCGAGATCAGACAGAAGATGGTTCTACTGGTTACCAACTTTTCCTAAAGGAATCTCTTTTCTATAAACTGACTAAGTTAAATCATTTATGGGTATTTCATATTAAATGCAGAACAATACCAGTACAGAAATGATAAACTGTACAATGAACCCAAACAGTGAACTCAATAACTGCAAGAAGTTTGTGTAGAACTTTGAGCAGATTTTTTCCTGTGAATATTGATCACAGATGAGTTTTCCTGATATTTTTTATTAACTTTTAAAGCAGTTCTCCGTCTGTATTATGTTTATCTAATTTTTACCAATCTTTCATACTTTACTCTTTTTGGACGCTTGGCCATTGTTCTATTAGCACTTTGGTTGTTGTAACTCTTAACTACTTTTCCAATGCAGGACCAAGCTGTTTATCAGAGAGTGAAGGCTGAACTTGTGTTCAGGTCATCAAAGTTTAGAGCTTAAATAAACATTTAAACTTTAATTTCATTTAATATTCTTCACAAAAAGAATTAACAAAATGCTGGGACAGAGGCCAACTTTGTATAATCTTTAAATTTTCTTACACCCCTTAAAAATCAAGACCTACCAGTTGGTAACCAATGCCATAGACTGGATAATTACAAAGTTGCAAACTATAAATCATGTAAACATGTAAAACATGTTGCAGGTATAATGATAACTTCTATAACAATCTACTTCAGTAACAATAATCTATCAAATATATAACATTACATACATCTATTACAGGGCTGCCTAAAGTGAAGGCTCAGTGAATATAACTTGTGTTCAGGTCTTCAGAGTTTAGATCTTAAATAAACATCTAAAGTTTAAAAAGAATAATTTCATTAAGACACACAGGACTTATACTGCTGCATTAATTCATAATTGTTTGAACTAATGCAAACAGTTTGTCAGAAGCCTTTAAAATGCAGTCTGAGCTGTAGAAATCTGTCCCTACACTCTGAAGACGCTGTTAGACCTGGAGCAGGTTTATAGGGTGACCTCTAGTGGAGATTGTACAGGACACAGCAGCTGAGTGCACACTGAACCAACAGTGCAGTTTAAATCACAGCAGTGGGCTTAAGAATCAATGTAATTGACCATTTTCACATGGAATAGTAGACACAGGTGTTACCAATGATAATAATTAAGGTTCAGTTCCAGTTAGTGTAGCAGAGCCTTTCCAGTGAGCAAACATGCACAATAGCAGCACCCTGATGTGAACCTTAATTAGTATCATTGGTAACCTCTGTGTTTACCCAGGGCTTCATTATTTTAAACCAACTTTATCCTGGAGAGCAGTTGTATTTAATGTTACAGTAGTGTAAGTTGTGGTTTATAGTAGATTGTTGATTCCATTTATCATCTCACACTGTTGGACATTTATGTATTTATTGTTCTGTGATCATATTTTGTGTACTTGCCCAGGGACAACAGATGTAAATTAGCTGAAGAGTGCAAAAATAAACAGAATAAGTAAAGTGATGCAGTGTAACAGTCATCATTTTGTCTTCCATAAATGTAGAACTCAAGACTTTAGTGTCCACATGTACCGTTAATTATTCTCAGTTTAAGCATTTCAAATACTGAAAAATTAAATTTCTCATTGATATTTCTATATTCTTAAATTTAAAAATGACCTCTGTATACTCTGTTTCAATAGGAATTAGTTACTGTTTTATTTGATAACTATTTTAAGTTACAACACTGATGAAAATTCACATATATACATATATATACACATATATATATACATATATACATATATACACATATATACATACATATATATACACATATATACACATATATACATACATATATATACACATATATACATACATATATATA